AAACCTCAGGGGTGTCAGTGTAATTTACCCTTAGGCAACGTTTGTGTGGCAGATTAAGTTGGAGGAGATTACTAGTGAGGGGATTGTTAGTGAGGGTCGTTTGTTTTCAGAGATAGAATGGAGGGGATTGATAGTGAGGGGATTAATAGTGAGGGGATTGTTAGTGAGGGTCGTTTGTTTCCAGAGATAGAATGGAGGGGATTGATAGTGAGGAGATTAATAGTGAGGGGATTGTTAGTGAGGGGATTAGTAGTGAGGGGATTGATAGTGAGGGGATTAGTAGTGAGGAATTATTAAATTATTTTTATATAAAATAATAAAACAAATAAAAAAATATAAAAAATTAAAAATTATATTTTAAAAAAAATTTCCCATATATAAAAAATAAAAAAAATAAAAAAATAATATAGAGCACATATTGGGATTCAAGTTTACTCTTTGAAATGATATGAGCCTTTCCAGAATAAGTTTTGTTTGAATCCCAATATGTTTCCCAAGTAAGTTTAATGGATGAATCCCAAATTTTTCCCTGAGAAAGTTTAATATTTGATATGTTATAGGCCTTCCCTCAATCTGCTCGTTATGAATTTTATATGAGTAGTCAATTGAATTTTATTATCAATCAATTACTTGCATAAATCCTTTTTTAAAAAGAATTGAGTGAGGAAAGAAATGGGGCAATTTTTTTTTTTTTTTAATCACTAAATTTAAGGAATTAGAATACAAATCTACGATGTTTCAAAATGTGCATTCCCAACTAAAAATCACAATGAACTTTTTAGTAACTTTCATTATCACTATAGCAGTTTAGGCCTTTGCTCATCATAACCAATGTGTTGCAATAATGATGTGATGAATTATTCAACAATAATGATGTAATCACAAAAGATTAATTAATAAAGATAAAAACACATCAGCATCAGCATCAGTATCTTTTGTAGACCAAAAGAGAAAGAGTAGTATAACCTAATCAACATAATCTCTTGAAACACCATGGCTAGAAGGGGAGGAAAATTTTTGAAGGTACGAAACCATATTATAAAAATTCAGGAAACTTCCGTGATCAAAAAGAGCTCCATATTATTCACAAACCTAAAACAAAAAAATTGTAATCCAATACCCAAACTGAAGGAAACAGAAATCTCTGTAAGTATAAGCTTTAGGGGTGTGAAAAATTAGGGATTTTTGCTGTATGAGAACAATAGTTTTTCTATGAATTTGGAGATTCAATCATAGATGACAAATTAGGTAAAGTCATGCGGTTCTCATTCTATACAAAGATAAATTTTTATCAAAGCTTTCCAAATAGTTTAACTCTTGAAAACTGAAGCATATATATATATGTGTGTGTGTGTTCACCTTCGCAATGCTGTGTGACGCTAAGATGGTGGCTACCGTAGTTGTTGCGACTGAGGAGTGTGGGTGTCGACGAAAAGGAAGAGCCAATTATAAATATAAACACTTTTAAAAATAGTCACTTTGCTTGGTTCTTAAAACCAACGTTCAGAAAATTTTACATTTTTATTTTTCATATTTTTTTTGTTTTTATTGAATTTTTTAAATATTTTATGTAAATTTTTTACTTTTTAAACACACTTAACATAAATACACCTAAAAAATAAAAAAATTATAAAAAAAATCTTTTAAAAATTCACTAAATATCAAAAATATAAAAAAAAAATACAAGAATTTAGTACATTTTTTGTATTTTTATGTATTTCTTAATTTTTTAAAATATTTTTTCATAATTTTTTTACTTTTTAAACACATATAAGTAAGGTGCATCTAAAAAAGTAAAAAAAATGTTTAAAATTTTAAAAATATTCACTAAAAACAAAAAAATACGAAAATCAAAAAATTCAATTTTCAAAAATCTTAATTCAGAAAACTCAAACCAAACACAATGAGTGTTGTTTTATTATAGAGATATAAAATTAAAATTTTAAAAATATATTCAATCACATTTATATAGAAATTGTGATTAAAAAAATATATATAATCACATTTATTTGGAAGGTGCCCATTCAATTAGATTAATTGTAATTAAAATATTATTCTCATTTTTTTAATCATACTTTTAATAAAAGTGAGACTTTTTAATTCCTCACGTGTGATCTTTAAGCATTATTATAACAGTGAAAATAAATATTTAAGTCAAAAAATTTGAAAATTTGCATATTTTTCAATTTAATTCCGATTAAAGCTTATTTTATATCAATAAAAAGCTTGTGGAGAGTACAATCTAAATATGTAAATTTAATTTATAAGAAAAGAAATTTTATTTTCTGTTTTTGAGTACCAAAAAATCTGTTGTATGCATAAAATACATATTTAACTCAAAAATTTTGAAAAATCATATATTTTTTAATTTAACTCCAATTAAAACCTATTTTATATGAATAAAAATCTTAGGAAAAATTTGTCTAGGGTCCCTCTCCCACTTTTCGTAATGGAAGAGATCCACAAAATTATTTTATAATGTCTAAGGTCCCTCAACTCCCACACCCATATATCACAGAGAAACTCCCACCTTTCTCTCCCCCCGATCTCATCACTTCACCTCCACTAAGTTTGGTATCTTTTCTCTCTCTCTCTCTCTCTCTCTCTCTCTCCTACATCAATGGCAGCTGGGACAAACAATCGTCTGAGGATTCGAATTATAGACGCAAAGCAGATTGCAATCCACATATTTCTGTCTATCTCTCTCTAGCTTTCTGTTTACAGGTTCTCCATTTGCTTCATATATACACGTAGACACAGTTATTCACGAATGGTTCTTCTTCAATCCACATTTTTGGTAAAATGTTTGTTTTGAATTTGACAGATTACAATTGCGATGTTGCCGAGATGGAGCAGAGCTGTGACTTATCTCTCTAGGGTTTCATCACACAAGAACAACATGGTAACTAGAAGAGATTTTCATGGTTTCTCATGCCGAAGCTATTCCAAAGTCGTCGCTGCCACCTAGGTGTTGATCGCAGCCGATTCTACTGAGAAAGGTTATGTGAATACGCCTGAGGTATAAATTCAGAACTAGCAATTTGGATTCTGTGAGAATGTTATTGATTCTCTGTTGAATGAACTTGTTGCTTATAAAAAAAATTCATTAGAATTTTATGATACTGAGTCGTTAATTTTAGCCTCTTCTTGATGGCATCTACAGTGGTAAAAATCTTCATTGTCTATTTCTTATCTGGCCAAAAATGGACAAACGATCGTCTGAGGATTTGACCAGAGAAATTCTCTATAAACTGTGAAGTCCAGAGAAAATCTTTGTAAACTATAATTTCTCTGTGAAGTCCAAAGAAAATTCGTTCAGAGAAATTTTTTGGATCGAATTTTCTCTGACTAGTTGAGTCTAACTGATTCAATTTCCCCTTCTACAGCTTGTATTATATCTGTCAACTACACAAATGATGTGTTCTTGTACATGTGTGCTCTTGGTATTGTTGTTATTTCTTGGTAATAAAGTTTGTGCATCATTTGTGTTGTTTAGTTACTGATATAGAGGTTGATGAAGATTTTGAACAAGAAGATAAACCTGGAGTTCGAAACCTTCAGCATCTCTCTGTTCTACAAGAGGCAAAGCAGTCAAGTAAAAGTCCTCTTCATCTCGTTATTGCTCCGAGCCTTCACTTCCAACTCGGCCGAATCCAATGACCGCGACGATAATTCAGGCTTAAACATTAGCGATTCTATGGAAAAGTGCTGAAACAATTGCAGTTGTGTTGGGTTCACCACAAGCAATAGCAATGCTAGTCCAGAGAAATTCTCTGGGTTCCAAGTTAAGCATTCAGTCATAACAGTCATATGTGGTACCTCCCTTAGCATAGTTGTACAGTAAACAGTAGGTCTTAAAAGACCGAGCAGTCAATGATGGCCATCAGTAATGGTTCCAAACATGGGAACCGCCAGAGATCTCTGTAACAGTAGCAATAACAGTAACAGTAGTTGCTATGGACGCCACAGTATAGTTCAGAATAGAGGACATACATTCATTCAATTAACAGTATCAATTCAGAAACAGTACAGTTTAACCATTCAGAAGATATTCATATTTGAACATATCTTTACACAGTTGTTACTCACAGAGTTCTAGGCTACAGTTAAGCTAGAGCGCGTCCTCATATGCCAACCCTACATAGTTTACAGGATGAACACACACTAAGTTCACATTCGGGAATCAAAGACTTAGTCCCTACTTAGACTCGGTGTGGTTCTACATCTATATCCTCATTAAGATGCCTTAAACTAGGCCTAAGAATGCCTAGGACGAAATGAGGATGCAAATATGCACTTTAAAAGCATTTTCAGAATTTTCAGAAAACAGGGGTCCCACTCGAGCGTAGGTTACTCTGCTCGAGCAGACATGCGGACAAAGGTTTCAGCTCGAGCGTAGACTTATCCGCTTGAGCATACTGCAAAACAGTCAAAAGTGTTAGACGTGTGAAAATCACGCTCGATTGGGCGCTCAACACCCGCTCGAGCGTAAGACACAAGGTCTCGTTCGCGCGTAAATTACCCTGCTCGAGCGGACTTCAAAATAGTGTAAAGTGCTGGGAGCACGAATTTCATGCTTGAGCGCCAGTCACCCCGCTCGAGCGTGAGTTCAAAATCTAGAATTCCCAGGTTTGAACCTCAAGCTCAAATTCAACTTCAAATGTGTCAAATTCGATTCCTTTGGGCCCATTTCCTGGGAAACACTTGTAAATACATAGTATGACATGATTTAAAACTCAATTTGTAAAATCAAAGCCCAAAGGTGAGGGAATTAAACCCAATTTCAAACAACATTTTAAGAACATGATGAATGTGTAACATGCATGAATTCAACAACTTCAAAGCTTCAAATGATAGCTCAATTGAGCCAATTCTCCTAAAATCATGGTGAATTCATGGTCCATTTGCAAAAACATGAACATGCATGTGGATTTCATGAACAATAGTTTCAAAACCCAAGAATGGAAACATGCATGCATGATACATGCTACAATTCAACATTATCAGGCTCAATCTAGGCTTAGATCACTAAGGACACAAGAACCATACATGAATCAATTCAAAAACAAGTTCAAGAAAGTGGATGTTCTACCTTAAGTCTTGAATTAAAGGTCTAGGAGCTCAATTTTGCAATACTCTCTTTAATTCCTTCAATTTCCAAGCAAAACAAGATGAAAACCAACTCTCTTAGTTCTCTCTCTCTCTATGGTCGGTTGTGCTTAGAAATGAGCTGATGAAATGTGTATGAATGAGTGTAATAAGGCTCAAATATGGTCTAAGGTAGTGACCCACTCACAATGGCATTTTGGTAGATAAAACCAACTTATGTGTTTTACATTATCTAATCTAATTTAATCACACTAAATCACATTTTGGATAAACATGCCATAAATTCACATAAATTCTAATGATCATAAAACACTAATCGATTTCGGGTTCGGCCTCCGATAAGGCCTTCAATTTGTAGTTTAAAGCATAAAACATGGACAGATAATTTAACAGTCAAACAGATAGAAATGCATTCAAACTAGTACAATCAATCAATCAGTTCAGTTTTTTAGTCGGTTCAATTACTTATCATGATCAGTCTCAGTTTAACAGTAATCAGTGGTTTATCAGTAATCAGTGGTGAGGGTTATTACAGTCTCCCCTCCTTAAAAAGAGTTTGGTCCTCCAAACTTGAATTACCTTCGTTCTGGAAGAAAACAAGATTCAGTGGAAACAAGTCAGGTATCTCTTGGCCATGTCATCTTCCCTTTCCTAGGTGGCATACACGCCACCATGGTTTTGCCAGTCGACTTTTACTAATAGAATCTCTTTGTTGCTCAACTTCTTGATCTGTCTGTTCACAATCTGTATAGGCCGTTCTTCATAAGTGTAGTCATCACTCAGTACTACACGAGTAGGCTCAATCACATAGAAGGGATCCCGAAGGTATGCTCTCAACATTGAAATGTGGAACACATTGTGCATATGCTCCATTTCAGGAGGAAGCGCTACTTGATACGCCACCGAATTGATTTTCTCAATAATCTCATACGGTTCGACATATCTCGACGCTAACTTACCGTTGACTCTGAAACGAGTCTGGCCTTTCATTGGTGTCACTTTCACGAAAACGTGATCACCTACTTCATACTGTTTGTCTCGCCTTTTGACATTCGCATAACTTTTCTGTCGGCTCTGTGCGGTTTTCAGTCTCTGTTGGATCAGTTTTACTTTCTCAGTCGTTTCATATATAATCTCGGGCCCAAGCAATGACCCATCTCTAATTTCTGTCCAGCAGACCAGAGATCTACATTTTTCTGCCATATAATGCCTCGAAAGGCACCATACCAATACTTGAATGGAAGCTGTTGTTGTAGGTAGATTCAACTAACGGTAGATGACTTTTCCAATTTCCCTGGAAATCAAGAACACATATCCGGAGAGTACAAAATCGTAGCCAACC